CTCAATTGTCGGGAGCTCAACTGTCGGGAGGCTCAACTGTCGGGAGGCTCAACTGTCGGGGGCTCAATTGTCGGGGCTCAACTGTCGGGGCTCAATTGTCGGGAGCTCAACTGTCGGTGTACCCTATTACATAGATTAATCTATGGTTTTACTTGCCCATTCAAACCACAAGTTACAGCAATTTTTGATGTTACGCCGGTCGATGCACCAATCTGTTGTCTATGGGTTTATTCGGACTGATATCATTCTATGCACAACCACTGTCGATCACACGATATGCTTATTCTATCATTCAAGCTGCAGGTCAATTTTTCATATTTCAAAGAAAAGTGCCTTTATTTCGACTGGAAATTACGAATATTATTGCATCGGCATCGAATTGTTATGAAGACACAAATGATAGTAAAATATAGAGTCTTCTGAATATCAACATATTGACATTGAAGATACGCTTAAGGGCAGTTCATGGAATGCTCAACTGGGGAATAATTCACAGTAATTAAATCAGAAAGAGAAGAAACATCTGAAATACATGCTAATAATGTATATTGTATGTAATGTCCAAGAGAGAACCAAGAAGATTACTACTATTTACAGTAGGAATATTTGTAGAGTGTGGGTATATAAACTAGAAGAAACCCATACCCACACCCACGCCCTATATATAAATAGAGATGATTAGAAAGAACACAGTCAATGTCGATTGTACTTTGCCACTTAAATTTATTTGATCTCGATAGTTGATCAGAAGAGAATAATTGGGTGGTGGTGGTGGAATTCGACCACCTACTACATTGAACACTGCCACCATACCTGCTTCTGCGTGCCAAGCAAAATGACAATGAAAGAGCCAGGAGCCCGGATTGTTGGCAATGAATCCGATGACTATGTAAGACAGTTCAGGCACTTGTTCTGTATCACGATATGGTGGATTGATAAAGTTGAGTGTGTGTCGATCACGTACAGGATCAAAAATGTACGGTTCACCAGTACCAGATTGATTTTGTTTGCCCATACCAAGTACATAAAAAGAATGACCATGAAGATGAAATGGGTGGCCAAAATTTTGAAAATTGGTTACAACAATCATGACATGAGCATTCTGTCTTAAATTGAACACACTAAGTGGAGGTGGTTGTTGAATGCCATGTTTGTACAAAGTAAATAATGTTGGCTCACGGGGCATTTTATAGCTATGCGAATTGACTGTACAACGATGTACGCTGGGCACACAGATGATATGAACAATCAATGTTTCATTAAAAGTTGGTGGTTGGAGCGAGAAGTCAGTGTTGACTTTAGATGGTACGAGTGGCATGGAATTGACCAAGCCGGTTAGGTTCCGTGGAAGAGGTGATGTTGGTGGTTCAGGAGTTCCATTTCTTGTATTATTGTAATGTAGAATAGCATGAAACTGGTTGGTATCGTTCACAGCAGTAACTGCACGAATCCAATAAACACCTAAAGGTGATTGCTGATTCATAGTGACAAGAAAATCGTATCGTTGGCCGATGTAAATCCATAGTTGTTGGGTGTTGTAAGGTTCGACGTAGACACCATCGATAGCGATCACCGTTAACTCATGATTGTCTATAGAAAATTTGAAATTGAATGCACTACTGGCAGCAATCAGACGAAATCGATAGGTTTCATTGTAGACCACAGTAAAACGTTCATAAGGTCGATTCGGTATACAGAGAAGTAGATCACCAAGCTGATTTTGTTCTTCTTCTGTCTTATTGAGGAGGAGCAGCGATTGATCGTCAATGAACAATCATGGCGACCTTTCCCATTCATAAGACCAGATATGAATTCTGGAAATCTGTGATGATGTGTTGTCGGAGGAATGCTAAGGATATCGAATATATCGATGGCATAGCGATGATACCATTCATTCATGATAAGGGAAAGTTCAGGAAACTGTTTATATGGATCATTTGGATCTTCAACGATAAGACTACCAAAAAGACCATCACTATATTGAGCTCCCGTATGTGAATGATACCAATGTGTGCCAACGGGACTGGCTACGAATGTATAATTGAATGAATGTAAAGGTAGAATCGGATATTGTGTTGTATAAGAGACTCCATCCATCCATGGTGTGTTTAATTGATGAATACCATGCCAATGGATTGATGTTACTTCGGTTGGTAGTTCATTGTGAACGATGACTTCAATGATGTCATTCTTTTGAGCCCGAATAGTCGGTCCAGGGAATTTGAATACATCTGAACTATTGTCGATTGAAATGACTCTACGATAAACACCATCAGGGTTGTATGTTGCATAGCGAAGTGTCCATTCATATCGTTTATGTGCGGCGCGTGATAGATCCAAAACAGTGAGCAGAAAGATCGATTTGAAAAGTATCGCATACATTTTATCGTCTGTCTTCAAGAAATAGAATCAAACTGGTACAAAACTACATCAAATTTTCTGGAGCAAACGATAAAATCCTGATTATATTTTTGTTCCGCTTGCATCATTTTTATACAACCCCACTGACATCTTAAGACGTGTAGGCGCTGAATAGGTAGTTTGAAAAGTCATGTTCTGAATAATCGATGCGACAACATACGTCTATCACTTCCTCTTTTTATTATATTACCAACTAGAAAAAAACAGAACTTTATACTCCTAACTCAAAACATACTGAAATGATTGCATACATGAAAATGGAGCAATAAATTGACAACCAATGAGGAAAGACAGCTGCATCACTAGGCGATATATGATAGTCGCATGTTTTCATAATTACTCATTGAGTGCTTGCTACAGAAGGACAATAATCATGAAAAGAAAAGTTTGATGAGTAATTCTTTTTGCAGAATGTTGCATTCATAGTTACCACTGAATCAACAATGGTATCCATCCTAGAAAAGATTTTACAACCTTTCTGTTTGATGAAAAGTGAAACAGGTGAAAACTTCAGTCAAAATGTGATATAAGCATTTCAAGTGTATAATAACATCTTAGAACACATCCTCCGCTTGGCAACGCCAGCATTTTTATGACGTAAAAAGTATTCTCTCCAAACATATCTTTTTCAGTGATTTGTTTTTTATGATGGATTTAGCTATTGACAGGAGAAATGAAAATCAACGCATTCGCTGCTTTCTTTTTTTTAACTAAAGAACATAGACAATAGAGACAGTATGATCTTCGGTGCGGATGAAATGAATTGAACGAATGAAGACGTTCTTCATACATTCATGGTTTTTTATTACTGCGTCATCACGGTACGTTTCAGCCNTCATTCTTGCTATCGTTTCAAGGTAACTACCAGTTTCCTAAAAGATTTAGTATACATCATCAGATGTGCTACATTACTATTACTCAGTAAATGGTACTAGTTTTTATCACTTTAATTACTGATTAAATTTTGACTTATTAGAGATGTATTTAATAAACTTTAATATGAGCGTTGTAATATAAAGAAAATTTATTCTATTCCCTCGACTGAAGTGAGGGTGATACGAAAAAAACTCAAAATGCGTTTGTCTGTTTGTTTGTCGGGGTCAAAAAAAACATCCACGACCAATTATTTTTCCATGGATGCTGTTAGAACTAAATCGAGGTCGAAGAATTCGAATGTGAAGTTAGTTTTTAAAAATTTAGAATTGAGTTTTTAGGGTTAAGGGAAGGGTTTTTTGAGAAAATAACGATATGTTATAAAGGTTGACGAAACTAAATCGAGGTCGGAGAATCCGGATCTGAAGTTAATTTTTTGAAAATTTTGAAATGAGTTCTTTTGGTCAAGGGAGGGGTTTTCGAGAAAATGAACATGTATTATAAAGGTTTACGAAAGGAAATTGAGGTCAGAAAATACAAATATGAAAGCTGTTTCACGAAAAGTCGAATAATTATTGGTATGAAGAAATGGTATTTCTCTCTCTGAATTATTGTCTAACGCTAAGATGGAACAGGTAACCGGCTCCCGTGGAAAAGTCAATGGACCGGTCAACACTATCTAGCGGCCGGTCGCAAGCCATCTCTGCAGACCGGCCAGTATACCTGTTCTATCTATGGTTGAACAAAAAGCCAAGGGATTTGAGAAAAAATGACTTGAAAAAAGGTGTACTCAAAATTCTGAAAATCCTTTTGTCGATCTAGAATGCTTGATTGCTGTTTACTTTGGATACCATTTCCACAGTATCTTGGTAGGTGTGAGTCCATGTCTAGCCTAATGATATGAGTGTTTCATTAATTCGTTCTGTGATAAAACAACGTTTGTACGCTACTGGCATTCAGTTTCAGGTAAACGACATCGAGTGATTCAGGTTCATTTACAGTGCTTTCTAAGTTAAATAGCTTTTTTTGTACTCTTTGCTTAAGGTGAAAGACGTAGCATTAATGGAACCTTGTAAATGAAGTTCGAGCCTGTAAAGTAAATGCAAAATAAGCAATGATTATCTTGATGTATTCAAATAATGCAGCAACTGACTATGAGTAGTGCCGGAGAGAGATGTCGGCAAGTGACTGGCCGCTACTATTGTAAACGTATTCTAATGTTGTTTAAGAAAAGATCTTCGTGAAACCTGCATTTATCAAGTATAATCAACTAAGGTTCGCTAAATGAGGAGCCCTGATAAAACTCTAATGTATTGGCTAAACAATGAGGTTGAGGAAATATAGAATAAGTAATAAGTGTTGGTTCGGCGTAGCTCATCGGAAATCATCATGTTATAAATGTAACAGTTTTTCCAAGGAACAATGATCTAGTATTTGATAGGGTTTAAGTGAAATAAATTTTCTCAGCGTAGAATAAGATCACAGGTGGCAGCTCCTAGCTGCGAGTGGCGCCCCGGAGGAGCGCTGACGAGTGACTAGCTGCTGCACTGGAAACTTACTTTATGAAAGGCGTTAAATTGGTTATCCTGAAAAACGTCGAAAATAAAAATATCGAAAGGAAAAATGTCGAAAGTAGAGGCGCCATGAAGCATGTGAGTGGTGCGATAAGTGGCGCCTCTACTTTCGACATTTTTCCTTTCGACATTTTTATTTTCGACATTTTTCAGGATAACCGTTAAATTATAAAGATTCAACGGGAAAATGTGAATGGATTAGATTTGATGGGTTTCAGTGGCGACTTAAAGTGATAAAAGAGGAGAAATATGTTCGTACGTATCATATGACCAGTTTTTCTGTAAGGATAGAATATAGGGACATTTATAGATGGAAAACATAATGAAAACGATTCAATTCGTTCTCTCAAAAACGAGTTTGAATGCAAAAGAATGAGCTTTTCTGTTGGTATATCTTCTTATGGATTTAGAAAGTGTATTTTCTGTAGCAGATGATCAGTTGAAACAGTATATGTCGATATCCATTTCGGGTAAATGTGTGAAAAAGAAGGGAGTAATTGGAAATCATGTGACTTTTTCGTTCTTATGAATATATTTATCAATTAAGTGACTGATTTGTTGTTACCATGAAATGGTTTTTGGCTATTTATGAACTAACTGCACGGATAAAAGTTAATACGCTATTGAAATTGGTCCTGTTTGAAATTTATAACAGAGTTTCTTTCTTGTGTTGAAACCTATCGGTTAAGGAAAGATATGCATGGATAGGGGTGGGTCTAAAACTGGTACCTGGCATTAATATGTCAAATGCTATTATTACTATTATGCAAAAATGATACTTTTAACCTTGTATTTTTTTGGGGAATTTTGATATGTGCAATTTCTAGCTTCTGTTATTCGAAGAAAATCATTTTGAAAATATATATGTGAGTGACGTCGTAGTTTTTGTATTATATGGACAATAAGAACCTGTCGTTCAAGTGCACTTATATTAAAAGGAAGACTCAGTGTTTGCTGGTGCCCCGAAGAGGCGCCAACGAGTAACTAGCTGCTGCAGTGGATTATCTGCAGAAGTACCGCTTCGAAGTTTTGGGATTTATTTAATAAACACCAACAGTAGAGGTCTAATAGGTTTGAGTAAGGAATGTCAGACGCAAAAATATGTCAAGTCAAGGATGAGAAACGATTTTTCTGTCTGGACACAATAGGTAAATAAGTTATCAGACGAAAAACACAACTAAAAGAATTTATATTTACCGTATCGGTAGTTGAGATGAGTGAAATATAAGAGTGTTTCTCTTGTTATATTATTTTCTTTGTATTGATTCAAGTACCTGAATTTATACTTATATATTAAAATAACCTGCCTAGTCTTATCCTTGCTTTGAACAAGAGCTTGTTATATGTATGATATTTCGATTCTCGATTAGATATAGTATGATTTATTTTCAGCTAGGGATTCATTGAGCTTCTAGTTTTCCAGAGAACTCTATAGCAAACAGCGTTATCGATGAATGCGGGTGTGGGTGTGAGTGTGGGTATGTATGTGGGTGTTTTCTTCAATGATATCCACACTTACACCCACACCCACACCCAAGCCAGCTATTATGATAGCTTATCAGATATTTTATTTACACGGGCTA